CCGCCTGATCACTTGGACCAGTTCTCCATCGACCGTGGTGGTGACCACAAAAGAAGTAGTGCTCTCGTCCTGGATGTATCAGATAGATTCTTCCAAAACCATTTAGACCTGTGAGATCCATGCGAGGAAGGTCAGGAGCATATCCCCATATTTCCGAATCCGGTCGAAATCGAATGATGTGATCGTAACGAACTCCAGTAGCTAGCTGATAATCGCGGACAAGTTGACCAGCAAGATACAAAGTTTTTAATTGGGATTGAAGTTGATTTAACTTTTGACCACACTGTGCGACTGCGGATGGCCCACCTTCGATCGGAAAGGTTTCCGCAGTTTTAGTCAAATCATTCACCTTATAGCTCTTCAGGAAATTTCCGTAACATTCTTTTAACTGGTGGCCAACGGTTTCAGCCGAGGGAATAATATTATTAGGCAGTTCGGCATCTTGCCAGTAAGTGTAGATGAAGACATCAGCTTCAGTACCTCGCCACTTTTGTATCACTTTCTGCATATGCCCGTTGCACGTTCTTAGGTTGGTTCTGTACAAACCGACAATAACTACAGCTAATCGACCTCTTGGCACATCGAATTCCTCTGCTTTAGAATGTTTCTTAGGAACGGATACCACAGGGCCTGCGGAGATCATCCTAGATGTTTCGGAGATTGCGGAAGAATGTTGCATGCTCGCGTTCCCCGATGATGTTCCAACACCGATAGTTGAGGAAGAATTTGAACGAAAGTGTCTTTCTATAAATTCATTCTCAGTCCAAACAACAGGTTCGACGATCTGACAGAGCAGTTGTTTCTCAGAAGTGAAAATCTTTAAACTTCCATTGTCTTCCAAAACCAGTTGTTTCACTCCACCACTAGCATCCTTACGACAGCCAGATATCATGCCACTCCACCAGACATTTCTTTCTGCCCAATTCCATGCAGCTGTGGACGCACGCACTCTCAGTTCTCCTTCATTCGTCAAGTCAACTGTATGTCGTCCTGGCCATGAATCACCAGTGTTGGTCCACCAGATTGGTCGTCCAAATGTTTTCCTCACAGAGGGTAAGTAGAGAATCTCAGACAAACGAAGGTTGCCAGAAGCCTCGAGACTTAACTGGAAACGACCATTGGGACTTTGTATACTACTGCATGTTTGATTTAGAGTTTCCACGGAAGTAAGCACGGATTTGAAAGATGCGGTTGTTACAGAGTTCTGGCTAGGAAACGATGTCTGCCTAGGAAACGCTGTCTGCCGAGGATTGATGCGCCAATAAAGATACGAAAAGACGCAAAGAACTATAATTGGCAGAACAAAGCTGCAAGCCGAGCGGCGCGCAGAAGACTCCAGGACTATGAGCATAAAAAAGCTAATCTATACTACAACCGCTCTCTAGTGATTCGTAAATGCACCTTGCGAATTAGGCATTGAATCACAGTATTTAAATCGAACGATGTACCTATAAGTTGATGAAAATAATGAGAAATAAACTAACAAACGCATACAGTGCTTCCCAGACGTTTGCAATCCTGTGGAAAAATATTTGAAATCAATCCTGTATCTTGCTGCTTGGTGTGCGTGTATTCTGTCAAATGCTGATGATTAGATGAAATGCTGATATATTTTCGGTTGTTCGTCTGTGTCCTGCGCTCGAGTTTTCGGATCAGTCTCTTCACTCATTCAAGGAATTTTTTCCCATTCCACGATAAAAAGGCCAGGTTCTCAGTTTCTCCAACGATTTTTTGAACAGCTTTCTAATAAAAAGCATTAAGAATCTGCAGTTTTTAGCTTCAAGGAGCAACATCCGGGACATCTGGCGAGGTTTCCTCGACAAACTATCGCTCTTCTACGATATATCTTTCGGAAGAATCTGTCCGATGTCGACATTGGGTATAGTAAAACACCGCTTCAAACACATGTGAATATACAGCAGATTTCGCGCTACAAAATGACGCAAGTACCACATTTTCATCTACTACCGTGGTTCATATGTTTCCAGCACGAGAAATCTCATGACACTGTTTGTTTTGTTCCCCGGATCAAAGAACCTTTGAAAGACGAATTTAACGATCATTCCACTATGATCGTTCTATAAGAAAACGTACACCGCAACTTTCAAACAGAAAGGCTTTAGCGCTAGCTTAGAGTGAGATATTTCAACTGATTCCGTGATAGTAGTGTAAGAACTACATAAAACAGTAACAAACCTAAGCATAAAAAGCTCGATTGTAATGAACTGATAATGACGGACGAAATCTGAGAACTGAACGATCGCTAGATTTCTCCTCAGTTGCAATTATCCCTTTGTCACCCGATAATTGATCGATTTAACTACCACTAGTGACACATGTAGACATATCTAGTTAAAAGTCCCTTTTCCAATTAGTAATCTAGATGACAACTACTCGTACGTGTATCGCGCGATTACAGTCGGAATGTATCTAGATTTTTCCCATAGGTGATGTTTGCTTCGATGCAAAACAAACAGTGTCACGCGATTTCTCGTGTTGAAAACATATGAACCATGGTAGTAGATGAAAATGTGGTACTTGCGACATTTTGTAGCGCGAAATCTGCTGTATATCCACAACTGTTTGAAGCAGTATTTTACTATACGGTGTTTCCCATTGCTGACATCGGACAGATTTCTTCAAAAAGGTATACGTGCACAGCAAGCATTTTTCCATAGAGCAGGCGGACATCTGGTATTTTGGGTTAAGAAATGATTGTTTTCGCTGATCACCACAGATTCTGACTATATCGATGCACATTCTGTGAAATTTTGAATGAATTGGAGTTTCGGAAATTTTCGAAAACTTATTACACTGAACATAGCTCTCGGAAAAATCGTCTCGTTTCGGAAAAACGTTTATCGCTAAAAGACTTAATCTGAGACGAACATTCTTTTTACCAATAGCTGGCTAGAAGCGTCCTGATTCCAAATAATACGTTTCGAAAATTTAAATGTAATTTAGTTCAATAAAAAATTGATTTTACATAAAGGTCACGGATATACAAGGTATTTTTTCTTCAACATTTTATACCCGCACTAAAAAAACCACACTTTCGATTCTTCGCTAAATGTCCGCCTGGATACCCACTGCGCCGTAGTAGAGCGTTAGTTTGTCGAGGAAATCTCGCCAGATGTGCTCTCATTTATTGTCCAAAATCTATCAGATTATATGTAATCGAGGGCGTTGATTAGGATACTATCATACTAGCCCAAAAAGAAGGCAGGCAGTTGTTTCATTAAAAACTCGACAAATATAAGTGAGAGAGCTGCGCTTTCTAGCAATCGAACGTAGAGGACAGTAGCCAACCTCTCAGAAGCGAAAGTTCGTCTTTAAAACCGTTTAGAGACCGATTTTCAGGGGAATCTTTAGGAAACGACCTCAGATCTCTGGAAACTGGCATAATAATCTGCCGATTTTTTTCATAGATAGGTACGCTGAAGCATCCTCTAAAAAACTGAATCTAAGCAAAAGGTTCATTTTGCTGAGCCCCGGTGAACCTGAGGTATTCTCGGAAGCCTTAGGACTACTTTACGATTCGGCCTGAGCACCTTAAACATACATGGAAACACAGGTTATCAACTATACTAAAGCTCGTGCCAACAATTGTTTTTCAAAAACCTAATGGAAACGTTTATTACGTAACATATCCTATTTTTTAGCAGAATCGAAAAATTCCCAGCCCAATCACGATCCATCAAATTATGTTAGAATATCAACATGTAATCTATTTTACCTGCTCAATACTATGCAGTTCAGTAAAAGCTTTAATAATCAACGGAAAATACTGCGATTTGTAAAAAGGTTTTCTGAAAATGTTCCAAAATACACAAAATGCTTTTTTCTATTCTCAAGTAAAAAAAATATATAAGGCAGGTGAAATAAAGTACATCTTGATATTCTGACATAATCTTATGAGTTTTTATGAGGGTAATGAGTTTCTTGAGTCTACTCAAAAATATACAAAAAATAGGGTATTCCACCTATTATACGTTTTCACTTGGTTCACGAAACTGTTTTCGAATACAAATCTGATCACAAGATTCAGCATACTCGATAACCTATGTTTCCATGTACTTTTAAAGCACCCAGACCTCATAGTAAAGTAGTCATAATATTCCATACTGGATTAGGCAGTAAAAATTTTCTATCTCTGCGAAAAGTTGTTCGTTGGCTCTGAATACTTGCTTATATAGCTACTTCAACGTGCTCTATAATCTAGCAGTGGCGAAATATTCTCAGCTGTAAGTTCATAACGGGTCTTAAGACACCCGGATTCCAGAGACCCACCCCAAAAGGGCCTAGCAGCAGAAATGCATATCAAATTCGTGATCGACATCAAGCATCACCTATAATCTGTATGTTTTAAGAAACAGCGGTTGGACGCTTGGGAAGGTTCCTTCGTCAGAAGAGTAGGAACGTCAGATTATAATTAAAAAAACTTAAATTTAATCACTGCTGCTGTTCATTTAAAAAAGAGTAATGAGTGAAACCCAGCAGTTCTTAAAAACGCGTCGCCCATAGTATCCGATAGTCGCGAAGCTTTATGAACTTACGAGCTGATCATTGGAGTTATTCGAACCAAATTTTGAAAAAGAATGTAAATCACATCTTCTACAAAAATTGTGGTTTTTTAGGAACCCAGCCAGAAAAGAAAATCACTGGCACTCAGCACCCTCGATTACCTATAACCCGATAGATATTGGGCAAAAAAGCGAAGGGAAATCAGAATCTAAGAAGCTTACCTCGTAAGTACTAGTGAGCGGAATCAACATAGTGTGCTAGTTCCTGTGGAGATTCTACTTTAAAGACTTTCATGAGACATTCCTTGCGAGTATTGCACACACCCGAAATGCTGACCGTTTTCCTATACCATACGTTGGTTGTAGCGCTCTGCACCCAACACCTCTAGTTTCTGTTGGGTTAATGCCTCCTTTCAATGTTCTCGTTTGATTATGTTAGCATTGTAGTAGAAGTTCGATACTGAAAGAGACAGCCTCGACAGTTTAGCAGCAAAAGCGTGGCTCCGCACGGAAAGAGGACAACAGCTTCGATCCTTGCTTCGGGTGGGACGAAACATTTTTTTTGTTCTGTCTGTGGGTGTCACTCTGACATATCAAATTACGACATGTTCTCAACGAAAAATTCGAGTGTAAGTAGACGGAAAATAGAGTCAGAAACTGTTTCAAAATTCCAAGAAATTTTGCACAACTCTCTTGTAGGAAGCGCCTGTCCAGGAGGACCTTGAAGTAGGCGCATATTTCTAATTAGGTAGTCTGTAAAGAAAATTAGCTAACTAACCGTAATCTTTCAGGCTTGGCGCTGTTTCTATGGTATGCGCGCAATTGGTTTTAATTAGTAGCTGAATTGTGCCACAGGACTTTACGAAATCAGAAAATGACTTTTAACATGGCTAGAAGTGAAACAGTTGGATGGAGAAACATGTGAAAAGAAAATGTATGCCTCGACCGGAAATCGAATCAAAGATCCCACGGTAACAAGCTAGTAGCTCTAACCACTGTGCTACCGAAGCACGATCTAGCAGACACTCTCAGTGTTATGTGTCAAGTGTGCACGAATCATTTCACAGCATGTTCGTTTTGCTTCAGAAGTATTCAAGAATATATTTATATGTTAACACAATGACGAAAAAATCCAGTGCACAACCACTACCTTTGA